AGGCTATCACCCTCTTAACTACCCTGGGCCTTGCTACCAAAAATAGCAAAGGCCAATGTGTCAGGCCTAGGGAAGGGCTGCCTAGGGATGCCTTTGAACCAGGAGACACCTGGGAGGGAAGGCTGAGAAAGCAAGTCTGTTACCATGTACAGGATGGCAGCAGCAGGTACCCCTGGTTTTCTTTGTCTCCAAGAAGGCCAACATTACCAGCCTAGATTAGTAGCTCTAGGACCTGGGCAGTAAGGCCTGGGCTTAGATCATAAACTGCTGTGTGACACTGGGCAATTCATCTCCTTTTTCTGGGCCTTGGCTGTTTCTTCCATAGCCAGAGGGACTGTGGTTTGATCACTCACAGATTTTTTCCTTCTGCAACGTTCACAGATTCCTGTCCTAGAGGACTCTTGGCCATGGCCTGGTTCCTCATCCCACCTTGAATGAGGCTCAGGCAAGGCTAGTCTGTGACCTGGGCTGAAACTTTCTTTTTTTTAAAAAAAGTTTTCTATTTATTATTTTTATGTGTATGTGTGTATTGCCTGCATGTAGGTAAGTACACCTGTGTCGTGCAATGCCCGAGGAGGACAAAAGATGCTGTCAGATCCCCTGGAACTGGAGTTACAGATAGTTGTTAGCTGCCATGTGGGTGCTGGGATTCGAACCCAGGTCTTCTGTAAGAACAGCCACTGTTCCTAACCGTTGAGCCATCTCTCCAGCCCCCCTGGGCTGAGACTTTCTCTAGAAAGCAGCAAGGATGCCAGGCATATGAAGAGTGGTGGGCCCCTTACTTTGGGAGTTTCCTTAGGGAAGGGATAGGTTGTGAGCACAGGGACAGACAGATGATGTCTTCATAACCAGGGACAGGTAGAGTAACATTTGAAGTACTTAACCATCAGGGCAGCCCAGTCATGGATTTATCCACTTGGGGGACTTATCCATTTGAAGACCTAAAGGCCATGTCTTGCCAAGGTGGCGCTGAGGGGATGTTACTGGTGCCGCCTGACTTGTTTTGAAAGTCTGACGGATACTTCCGCTGCTGAGGAGTGCATGATCAGCGTGTGATCATCCTTAAGATACACCCTCAGGGGGGAGGGGGATTTCCAGATGCCTTTATAAGCTCTGTAACCCCTGCAATAAATGAGTTCCTGCTTGACTAGACTCCCCGTTGTGTCGTCTGATTGTTCCCGGTGCTGGGGGGCGGCAAGGACGGGGGGGGGGGGGGGCCATTTTTCCCCAGTCATCCTTGCGCGGGGGTCTTAGGCTTGAACCCTCCGCAAGGGAGGGGTCTAGTATGCCACAACTAACCCTAGGGGAAGGTTTGGGGTTCTGGGCTAGGGGCTGGTGAAGCGTTTGAGAGGCAGAGCCTAATTATTAGCTGGCCATGGAAATGTGTCACCATTTTGACAGCCTGTGTGGCTATATGGAGACCTGGTGCCCATCAGCCTGTTTATGGGGAAGGTGGGTCAGAGAAGGCTGCTGGTACCTTGGCAGCCTCTTTCTAGTTATTTCCACCATCAGAAAAAAGCCTTTTCTTAGAATGAGGCCAGGTTGCTGTCCTTACTTGGCCCAGCCTTCCTCCCCAGGGCTGGTACAATGAAGGGGTATCTCCTTCCCTCCTTTCCACATGACACCCTTGGTTCTGTGGTTTACTCAAATCAGGCATTTCCTGGCAGCTGCCAACTGCAGTCCAGGTAGCCTCAGCTTGTTCCTTCTGGCCACTGTGTTCAGCTGTTTCCTCTGCCCAGCCCAGGCTACTGCTTGGCACACTCACTCCCTCTGCCAAGTATCCCATCCACTAGGCAAGAGCTTTTCCTGTCTTGTTCTTGCTTGGCCCTTGTCAGAGAACCTTAAGATGGAATTGGTTGGGGGCAGTGGGGGCAGGTGCAACTTAAGGGCCCTGGAATCTTGGTTCAGGGCCCCTGCTTTGCCCCAACTTCCCTGTGCAATAATTTTGGTTTCTATTTTAAACAGTTTGGGTTGGTTGCTTCCCTGCCTTCCTGCTGGGTATTTATAGTGAGGAAAATAATTGATAATATTTGCACAGATGTGCTGGCACTGCAGCTCATCACAGGCACCTTTTTTACCCAGGGGATTCCCACAGCCCCCCAGTCCCCCACCTCTCTCTGTCAGCCTGAGAAACCAGCCTGAAGGAGAGGAACCAAAACCCCTGGGCCTCAGGCAGGAGGCACAGGCAGAGCTGGGAAGCAGGAGGCCTAAAGCGCCTCAGGCATGCCAGAGGCAGGTCTCATTCAGAATGGGGGAATGTGGTTGCCTGAGTTCCAAGGACTCTAGGACAAGCCCAGGCGCCACAGAATAGGCCCTTCCTTCGGGTGGCAGGGGGAGCAGGAAGCCCCCAGGGCCCTGTTCCTTGTTTTATTTTTTTTAAAGATTTATTTTGTTTATGCATATGAGTGTTTTGCCTGCATGTATGTATATGAGCCGTAACATGCCTGGTGCCCTCAAAGGCCAGAAGAGGGTGTTGTATCCCTTTGGAATTGGAGTTGCAGGCTGCTGTGAGCTGCCATGTGGGTGCTGGGAACTGGACCTAGGTCCTCTGTAAGAACAGTCAGTGCTCTTAAGCCTGAGCATCTCTCCAGCCCCTCTTGTTCCATTATCTCCAGTGGATCCTGAATATGCAGCTGAGGGTAAGAATGGAGGTTGGATGTGAAGAGGGTGGGCACAGAATCAGGGTTAAAACTAGTACTTCCAACCAGGTGGTGTGTGCCACAGTCCCAGCCACTCTAGGAGACTGAGGCTGCCTGAGTAACATTGTGAGATTCCATCTCAAGAAAGAAAGAGAGAGGGGCTGGAGAGATGGCCCAGTGGTTAAGAGCACTGGCTGCTCTCCCAGAGGACCTGGGTTTGATTCCCAGCACCCACCTGGCAGCTAACAACTGTCCTAACTCCATTTCTGAGGAATTCAACACCCTCTTCTGACCTCCACAGGCATTGCATAACAAGTGCACTTGCATACATGCAAGCAAAACACTCAGACACACATAAAAAAAAAAAAAAAATTTTTTTAAGGGGCTGGAGAGATGGCTCAGTGGTTAAGAGCACTGACTGCTCTTGCAGAGGACCTGGGTTCAATTCCCAGCACCCACATGGTGGCTATGAACCATCCTCAACTCCAGTTCCAGGGGAATCTGAAGCCCTCTTCTGACCTCTGCAGCACTGCACGGCACAGGTGCACTCACGTACATGCAGGCAATACACTCATACACATGAAATAAAAATAAAATATTTTTTTAGAAAAAGAGAGAAATTTATAAAAGGAAAGAATGAAAAAAAAAAAAAGAAGGAAGGAAGACAGGAAGACGCACAGGGACTTATTTGGCTTTTTATCCATCTTCCCAAAGCCTGGAACAGCATACCAGAGGACTGGGAAGGACGTGGGGGTTGTCTGGGCTGTGAGGCAGCCTTCCCAGTTAGGACTGGGTCCTTGAGCCAGCCTGGTAAAGGAGTGATGATGCTTTAGGGTGGGCAGATCTGGGTGAGCATCCTCAGCCACCACGTCTCCTTCACCTCTTACATGTTTATGTGCTGCATACAGTCTGCATGTTACATAACTGAGCCTGTGTATAGGTGAAGGCCTATATGCAAATGTGTGCCTATATGGTGCATATACACATGTAGGTGAATATGCATGTATGTGTCTGGGTTTGAGGTCCCCCAGGTCAACCCTAGGCAAGCATCAATGGGGTGCCATCTCAGGCAGTGCAGTAGAGCAATGGGGAAGAAGGTAGCCAGAGAGGACTGTGCTATCAAGTGAAACACTGCTGTGTGCAGATGAAGATGTCCTACTGGGAGCCCCTGGGAGCCAGGAGGCTATATGCCTAGTTTACCATCTAATGGGCTATTAATGGAGGCTACTTATTTACTCATTACCACCAGGCATTGGATGACAGCTGCATCCCCTCTCCAGCACTTTCAGCTTGACCTGCCTTTGGCCATGTATCACAGAGTCACAGTATGTAGAGAGGAGGGCAGAGGTATCTAAGTGAGTACTGGCATATTGCTCATGGTGGTGGATGTGGTGATTTGGCATCCCAGGGACCTTCAGGAAGGACAGACAGCTAGCTCCCTTTGGGGCTAGCCTCAGCTAAAGAAAGCTGCCTCCCAAGGTCACACCCCTTTTTAGGTGGCCCACAACCCATGACTGATGGATGAGAGGGTAGAAAGGCCTGGATCATCATCCCACCTTGAGTCCACCCTGAAGGGCATCCTGATTCCACCTTGGTTTGGTCCAGACTGTCATTCTGGACTACATCACAGCCTGACTCCTCCCTATGCTCAGACCTGCAACCTTTCTTCCACAAACACATCCTACATGCTAATCTCTGTTATAAGAGATTAGCAGTGGGTGTGGTTGTATGTGCAGATATGAAGATCTGAGTCTTACAATTGAATACATAGGGTATAGAAAGCACATAACACATTTCCCCAGGGCTTTCTATACCCAGCGAGTTTGAGGCCAGGCTGGGTCCTTTGCAGGCTCAGGCTGCCCCTGGGGGCCCAGGACTGAAAGGACTTCGGGGATTTGGTGTTGAGCCTGGAACCTGAGGCAGAGAGATGCCTTCCTCTATATACTGCCCAGGAGCATCTCCAGGAATGGAAGATGTAGGGGATCCAAAAATGGATAGCAGGGGAGTGTGGCCATTGGCCTGCTGTACCCTCTGTCCATTCTTGGTAGCTCCAGCAGCTGTATGGAGCCTTAGCCACACTAGCTCCCATCCCTCCCTTCCTGATCTCCAAGACTCTTAAATGAAGGAGAGATTTTTCTCCAGGCTTGCCTCTTGCCTTACCTTGCATAAAGTCAAATGCAACCCATCAACCTATATCCAGGCTACCCCAGGTAGAGGTACTGTGGGCAGTATAAGCTGCTTCTCTTCCTGAAGTCCATATGGGGATCCAGAGCTGCAGACATGGGGTGATGGAGATCAGTACTAGAGAAGAATGGGATACAGGCAAAGGACAGCAAGAGGCCCAGAAGGCACCAGGTGTTACAGAAAAGTTTATTACCAGGATAAATAAATACAATAAGGAGATACTAAAACTGCCAATGCAGGGAGTAGAGGGCTGGGCAACTCCTGAAGTGAGGGAGATGGGCAGGGTGTGGAGCAAGGGGTAGTCAGTGGTGGAGATATAGCCCCATCTGGGCTCTAGATGAGGTATGGGAATAGCCAGGTTCCCCAAATCCCCAACTGGCCTGCCTTCCCACTGTACTGTGTCTCTGCTCAGTGTCTCCAAAACTCTGACATTCCTTAGTGCCTGGGGGGAGAGTGATTGAAAGCAGTCCTGAGTGGAGGGACCAGTGAAGAGGCCCCAAGAGTGGCCAGGGGCCTATCGCCAACCCCTCATCATTCAGAGATGGAAAACATCACTGGTTCCAGAGAGACAGGCTTGGCCTTCCTTTTATTAGTAGAGGGCTTAGAAATGTCTACAATTTGACTCTGGATTGGATAGTCCAGACAGAATCCAAGCAGCCTGGAAACCTCCATGAGAAGCTCTTATATACCCTTGTCTACCAACACTGGGCATTATATGAAGGCAAATCCCTTAGGTAGATTCTTCTGGTCCTTTTAGGCCTTGCTCAGAGGACACCTCCTCCTGGAAGCCCTCCTGAGCAATGCTGGCTACTCAACAGCCCACATCTGTCTGGGTCCCTCCTCCACATACACTCACCACTGCCCAGACCCTCTCCTCACCCTTTTCTCACAGGCCTGGATCCAGCACCCTGCACTCAGTAGCTGGGGAGTGGCAATACTCTCTCAGTCTATCTGGGAGAGAACCAAGCGAGGGTCGTTCCAGCAGAAAGAATTATAGGGTGAGGAGTAGGAGCAGAGTAGGAAGGCCCGTCAGCCTCTCTGTCATCCCTTTTGTCTAGTACAGAGGAATTCCAGCAACCCGCCCTCAAATGCAGGGCTTTCGAGCTCCAGCTCTACCTAGGATCTGCAGTGTCTTACACCCACAGGGGAGATATGCAGTTCCCAGAGTCAGAGAGTGCATGGGCTTGCTGAGGGTTCTATGTATTTTCTTTCCTGATTGGAGGGCCAGAGAGTAGAGTGGGGAGTCAGCTGTTCAAGCTGTGTACAGGGATGAAAAGACTGGGTCAGATTCCTTGTTTCATTCTCCTCCCTCAAACTTCTTGCTTTCTCTTTTGGAAGGTGGCAAGTGGGGAGTGAGCTGCCTGTGGGGCAGAAGCCCTGTAGAGAATGGGTGGAGTGGGCTGGGCTAGGCCCTGCATGTTGGGTGGACCTGCCTCTCCTCCTTCCCACTCTCATCTGGCCTGCTCTGGGGCCAGGAGCAGTGGGTGAGAGAGAAAGGTTGCACGCCATGCAGGCTGCAGATTAGGAGGCCTCTTCTCAACAGGCTACTCTCACAGGTTCTCTCAGGGACAGGGCTCTGGGCAGAGTCCAGCATTCCAAGTCCCAAGCCTTCCTCTGGTGGGCCAGGAGAGCCAAGATGAGGCCCTTACTGACCACTAGCCATGGCCGTTCTGGGACATGTAAGCTGCCAGAGCCACCACAACGGCCACATAGAGACCTGCCCCCACAGCGATGGAGAGTGTGGCCAGGAAGAGGGCCCGACGGGAAGTGGTGCTGGCCAGGCGGAAGTCCCCTTTGGAGATGGCCTTGCTGGTCTAGGGAGACAAAACAACTAATGTAAGGTAGCAGCCCCATGCCCCACAAAACAGCCCAGCCCACCAGGCCCTTGACCCTGTCCTGCAGGTGGGTGCTAAGCCTTCCAGCTGAGGGAGGCCAGAGAAGCAGCCCTGGATCCCCTTCAGGCTTACCCCCTGGGAGAAGTAGAAGGCAGCGATGCCCAGAGGCCAGAAACAGCAGAGCATGGAGAAAAGCGTGAGCCCCAGGTGGTCCCTGGGAGGCAGTGTGAGGAAGTTGTCTTCACTTTCGCTCTCTGTTGAGGTTGCATCACTCTGTAAGACAGTGGGGTTTGGTGGCCAGGCCTAGCATCTCTGGAACCTCTTGTCAGACTGGCAAGAGTTTAAGAAACAGGAGCCTGCTACCAAGCCTGAGGACCTGAATTTGATCCCATGGACCCACATGGTGGAAGGAGAGAACTGAATCCTACATGCTGTCATCTCACTTCCATATGTATATCCCATACACACAATAAATAAACAAACAAATAAATAAATGTAGTTTTAAAAAACTAAACAGCCAGGCATGGTGGCGCACACCTTTATCCCAGCATTCGGGAGGCAGAGGCAGGCGGATCTCTGTGAGTTCAAGGCCAGCCTGGTCTACATAGTGAGTTCCAGGACAGCTGGGGCTACAGGGAGACCCTGTCTCAAAAAGGACAAAAAAACAAAAACAACAACAACAACAACAAAAAAACCTTAAATAACAATCGCAAAACCAGGTGGTACCCAGTGGGCAGATGCAGACCACAGTCTCTTCAGGTGTTGAGAATGTAGGTTGGTCTTGTCATTCTACCAAGAGCTTTTGCAGCAGCCTAACAAGTATACTTTCAGGAATGTTTTACCTGGAAAGAATGCAAGTCTCTGAATCCAGGGATGTCCATCATGGGAGAGAGATTGTGGAAGATGAGAAATATTTCTCCGAGCCCAAAGACCAGGAGACTGAGTTAACAAATGATGGAGGAACTCACAATGAAAGACCATGTCACTTTACAAATTACCTTGTAGAAGATATTTAATTACACAGAACAATATTGGAGAATCAAATTATAAAACTATGTACTTTGGTGAGAGAGAGGCAGAGGAGAAGAAACATGAATATAGATGATTAGTCACTAAAGTAATCGCATTATTTTTGAGTGATAAATGCTTGCTATTTACAATGGTGGCTATTTGTCACTTCGGTTGATAAATAGTTAAAAAATAAATAGTAAAAAAGCTAGTGAATTTCCTTCTCCTCCTCCTCTTTTTTTTCTTCTTCCTCCTCCACCTCTTCTTCTCTTCCTCCTCTTCCTCCTTATCTACCAATACTGGGACTTCTGTGAAAGCAGATCTCTTAGGTATATTCTTCGGGTCCATCTAGGCCTTGCTCAGGGGACATTTCCTCCTGAGCACTGCTGGCTGCTTATTAGCCCACATCTGGCCCCATGGGTTCTCTTCTTCATCCAACAACTCCTTTTTCAATAGTCTCCTGTAGCCCATGCTGACCTTGAACCCACCATATAACCAAGTGTGCTCGTTAGTCTTTTATCAACTTGACATAAACTAGAGTTATCTAAGAAGAGGGAACCTCAATTGAGGAATTTCCTCCATCAGATTGACCTGTCGGCTTGTTTGGAGGCATTTTCTGAATGATTGCTAATTGATGTAGGAGGGCCCAGGCCATTGTGGGTGGTGCTGTCTCTGGGCAGGTGCGCCTGGGCTGTATAAGAAAATTAGCTGAGCAAGCCAGGGGAAGCAAGCCATGCAGCATTCCTCCATGGTCTCTGTTTTAGTTCCTGCCTCCAGGTTCCTGCTTCGGTTCCTGCCTTGACCTTCCTAAGTGATGGGTTGTAACCTGGAAGTTGTAAGATGAAATAAACGCTTTCCTCCCCAAATTGCTTTTGGTCATTGTATTTATCATAGCAATAGAAACCAAACTAGGACATCAAGGCTGATCTTGAACTCCTGATCCTCCTGCTTCCACGTCCCAAGCACTGTTAATACAAGTGCATGCATAGTGAGATCCAGTGCAGGCTGTCCTTGAACGATCTATGTAGACCAGGTTGTCATCAAACTCCCCATCTTCCTGCCTTAGTCTCCTGAGTACTAAGATTGTAGGTGTCAGCCATCATGCCCATTGTAAGTTACTGTTTGTCAAAGACCTTTTATTTTATGACCAATGGATTCCTGCCTCCATTCCCCTCCAGTCCTGTTAAATTGCAAGGTCTGATTGGGGATCTGAAGACCTGCATTTTATTTCAAAATTTTATTATATTTATTTGCTGTGTGTGTACACGAGTGCAGTGTGTGTGTGTATGGTCGTGCATGTGGAGGTCAGAGAACAACATGTAGGAGTCTGTTCCCTTCTTCTACCTTGTGGGCCCCAGGGATTGAACTTGGGTCATCAAGCTTGGCAGCCAGCACCTTTGCCTTCTGAGCCATTCCTCCCATCCCCCCTGGAATCTACATTTTAAAAACGCTGCTCACCTCCTCCTCCTCTTGGCTGTCCTCCTGGCCCTGCAGCTCCTCCTGAACACTGTAGGACACAGTGTGGATGGTGACATCATCTTCAGCTTGACCAGGTTCTGAGCCCTGCTCTGTGGGCCCCACTGGGGGCTCCCTGGCCTCTGTGAAGCTGGTCTCACAGCTGCCTGCTTTGGGCTCCTTGACCTTGTCCCTCCCCAGGAGGCAGCTGGGCCGGTACCAAGCCTCCACTGCCAGCTGCAAGGACCCTGGGTCCAGGAGCTGGTGGGCACGAGTGGGGCCAGCACCACCTAGGAGGTAGGAATAAAGCTTCTCCTGGCAGGCCCAGCTGGGCAGGGCCTCGGTGTAGGAACCGTGGAGGTGGGCGGGGCTTCTGGGCAGCAGCGGGTTCTGCAGTTCACTAAGGCTCTCCATGGTTCTGAGGGCAGCTGCTGGGGAGGGGAGTCTGGGCCAGCCAAGCAGTCCTCTCTGAGCCTGTCAGGAAGGCAAGAAGCAAACACTGAAGCCAGGACATTGCATGCATGACCAGAAGTGGCTAAGCATTCGAACTCTGTGGTCCTATTTGGCCCTAAACCCTACATTGTCATTTGCCAGCTGTGGGACCTTGCACTAGCTACTTCCTAGAGCCTCAGTTTCCTTATCTGTGAAGTGGGGACAGTGGTAGTACTCACCTCAGACAGTTGGTTAATTCATTTATTCACTTGACACACGTTTAGTGAGCAGCAGCTATATGCCAGGCACTGTACCAGAGGCTGGGACTCTACAGCAGTGAGAAAGGTAAAATGCAGGGAGCAAGGGAGAAGGCCTCCCACTTTGTTTTACAGAAAACAATTGTAAATACTGTGTCTGTTCTGAGGGAGAAGCTCAGCACATGGGTGTAAGAACATGTAATGGTCAGAACTGACAGAGGCAGGAAAGGCTAAGATGTGAAAGAGCCAGCTCACAAAGTAAGGGTACCATGCTGTAGCTTGTGTCTGAATGTCCCCCAAAGGTCTACGTGTTGTTAAAGGCTTGGCCCTTGGTGTATTGGAAGACAGTGCAAACCCTTATGAGGCAGGGCCTGAGGTCTGGAGAGATGGCTCAGTAGGTAGAACTCATGCTGCTCTTCCAGAGGATCTGAGTCCCAGCACCTCTTTTGGGGGCACACAACTGTGTGTGACTCCAGCTCCAAGCCATCCAACGCCCTCTTCTAGAATTCACATGCACCTGTACTCCCTTGTACATATCCACACCCACACCCACACATATATATCCATAATTTTTTTTTTAAAGTCAGGACCTAGTGGGAGGTTTTAGGTCCCTGGAAGTGTGCCCTTGGAGGGGAACTCTAGGATGCTGAGCTCTCCTGCCCACTCCTTTTTTACTTCCTGGCCACCATAAGGGGAACAGCTCCACCTTCTACACACTCCTTGCTAAGCTGTGTTGCCTTGCCATGGGCACAAAGCAGCAGGGCCAACTGATCATGGGTTGAAACCTCTGAAACTCTGAGCCAAAATAGATCTTCTTAAATTGGTTGGGTATTTTGTTGCCATACTAGAAAGCACATTTCACAGAGAGGAAAGGATGTCTGCAAAGGTCCTGTGGCTGAACCAAGGATGGGAGTGTGGAACCATCCTCCTTGGTCCCCTCCCCTGGACTCCCTAGACCCCTGCCCCTATTTAGGACTAACTGCTCTTTTCGCTTCTGTAAATTGCTTGGCTTGAGAGAAGCAGAGGGACAAACTGCACCATCTCCATTTTGACTGCTGATTCCTCCATTTTTGTGATGTATCATGGACATAGACGCAAGCCTGGGCATGTCCAGGGGTCCCGGGCAAGTTTGAGACCTTATAAGGAATAAACAGGGTCCTCTAGCCCTGAAGATAACAGTCCCCGCACATTCCACAGCCCCGAGGGCAGCACCCACCAATGAGAGGCCTCCAAGACTGTAACCAATCAATTCAAAAGCATTTTGGTGCGCGCAGGCTCTTTGGACCAATCAAAATATAACTCTGTCATTCCCCTCCTCCCTTTGTCTGAAACCTATAAAAAGCTCCCTCCCCCTGCAACCGGGGCTCTCAGACGAACCTACCACGTTAGTTTGGTCTGAGAGTCCCAGCTTAAGCCCAAATACAGACTCTTTGTTCTTGTATGCTCTCTGGACTCTGTGGTAATTCCTGGGGATCCATTCTCTGGGCACAACATTTGGGGGCTCGTCCGGGATCCCCAAGGAAACCCCCCCCCCACTGGACCCCAGAGTGCAGAATCTACCTGATCCAATCGGTGAGTGTCTCTTGTCTTTGTGTCTTTCATTCCTGCGTGCTTCTGGTTTGGTTTTTGGGACCAGTTTCAAGATTGCCTGTTGGAGGTCTAGGCAGACGCACTGGAAGGCCCCAGGCTGTGGGACTTGGGAGACGTCCTGGACCCACCTGATAGGGATTGGATTCCCTTGGTAGACTTGGAAGGACGGAGCGGGTCATGCCCACCAGGAGGCAAGAGGCCATCATCCTATTTTCAGTTTAAGGCACCAATTAACTGTGTGCTATTTTTCTGTGTGTTTGTGACTCTTACTGTGTTGGAAGAAATGGGACAGAACCAAGTAACTCCTCTCAGCCTTTTTCAGGATCACTTCTCGGAATTCAAAGCCTAGGCTGATAGCCTGGGGTTAGGAGTAAAGAAAGGGAAGCTCTTTGTGTTTTGCAGGAATGAATGGCCAACTTTTGGAGCCAGCTGGCCTGAAGAGGGAACGTTTGACCTGCCTACCATCTACAGAGTAAACGATATAATTTATGGCCGTCCAGGCCACCGTGATCAGGTCCCTTACATCATGACTTGGCAAGTTATGGTGGAGGAGCCTCCAAAATGGTTAAAGCCGTTCCTTCCTCCTCCCCCCACTGGCTCAAAGCCAACTGTCCTCACCCTACATGAGGATGAGCAGCAGAGAAATGAAACTAAACCCTCCACCCCCTCTACCCTGTCTTGCAAGGAGGCACAGGGGAAGAACTCCTGCTTGAGCCACCCCCCTATCGGCCTGTTCCACAAGCAGAACCCCAGGGGAGGCAGAGGCAGCCCCACCCAGGGAGGCAGAAGGATACCCTCCCCAGACACGGAGGAGAGTCCAAAGGGGACAGCCACGGCTGGTGGCAGACTCTACTGTCCTCCCTCTCTGGTCTGTGGGGCCCCTCACTGAAGCAGGGGACCAGCAGATGCAGTATTGGCCATTTGCAACTAGCGACCTTTACAATTGGAAGTTACAGACAGCTAAATTTTCTGAAAAGCCTCAAGGTCTAATTGATTTTCTAGAATTTGTTTTGTTCACCCACCAGCCCACTTGGGATGATATTCAGCAGCTTTTGCAGGTCCTGTTCACCACTGAAGAAAGAGACCAGATCCAGGTTGAAGCCTGCAAGTTGGTCCCTGGGGTGGATGAGAATCCCACCACTAATCAGGCCCTGATTGATGAAGCCTTCTCCCTGGTTAGGCCAAATTGGGACTTCAATGGGGCTGATGGTAAGGAGAAGCTCCGGGTCTACCGCCAGACTCTAATGGGGGGTCTCCGGGAAGCCACAAGGTGACCGACCAATTTGGCCAAGATTAGTGATATGCAACAAGGGAGGGCAGGATGACCTGCAGCATTCCTAGAAAGGATTCTTGAGGTGTTCCGTACCTATACCCCAATGGACCCAGAAGCACCTGAGAATAAGAATGCAGTGATCCTGGCATTCATGAACCAGTCAGCACCTGATATTAGGTGCAAATTGCAGAAATTGGACAGACTGGCTGATAAAACCTTGCCAGAACTTCTGGCGGTGGCTGAGAAAGTTTACAATCACTGGGAGAGTCCTGAAGACAAACAGGCCCAGGTCACCACTGCTGCCAGCACCAAGGAGACCCGAGACTTTGCCAAGATTCTCCTGGCCACCTCAACCAGGTCCCCAGGTGAAAGAGACTGCCAGCTGCAATGCCTATCTGCTGAACAAGGTAGGAAATGCCCAGAAGGGCAACCAAAATTGCTGAGAAACCAATGTGCCTATTGTAAGAAAATGCGCCATTGGAGAAAGGAATGTCCAGAAAGACTGGCCAGACAGGAGCAGGTCTGTGAAGGAATACAAGTCCTGGAGCTTGGGGAATGGAGCAAATAGGGAGGACGGGGTTAGGATCCCCTCCCCAGCCCAGGGCAACTCTCAGAGTGGAGGGGACACCCGTGAGTTTCCATGTAGATACAGGTGCTCAACATTCAGTGTTAACAGAGACCCAAGGGAAATTATCAAAGAGTCCTGGTAACAGGGAGCGACTGGCATAAACCAATATTCATGGACCACCAGAAGAAAAGTGGACCTAGGCATGGGCCGGGTGTCTCACTCCTTCCTAGTCATGCCAGATTGCCCCTACCCACTCTTAGGTAGAGACTTGCTTACCAAAATTGGAGCCCACATCCATTTTTCACCTAATGGGTTTTATTTAATGGATCAGGGGGGCCTTGCCATTCAGGTATTAACCCTACAGTTGGAAGATGAATTCCGCTTGCATCAGGGACTTGCTCCGCAGCTGGAAGAGGTTTCTGTCTGGCTGTGAGAGTTCCCTTTGGCATGGGCCAAGACTGGGGGATAGGACTAGCAGCCCACTGGCCTCCTGTCTGGGTAGATCTGAAACCAGGAGCACTTCCAGCTCAGGTGAAGCAGTATCCCATGTTCCACTAAGCCAGATCAGGGATTACCCCACACATCCGGAGGCTGAGAGACTAGGGCATCCTAGTACCCTGCAGGTCTGCATGGAATACACCTCTCCTTCCAGTAAAGAAGCCAAACTCAAATGATTACCAGCCAGTACAGGATCTGAGAGAAGTAAATAAGTGGGTCATGGATATCCATCCCACCATGCCCAATCTCTATACCCTCCTGAGCTCCTTACCGCCCTCCAGGGGCTGGTATACTGTACTAGACTTAAAGGACACTCTCTTTAGCCTGCCCTTAGCCAAGGATAGCCAGCCGTTCTTCTCCTTTGAATGGCAAGACCCAGAGATCAGCTTCAACGGACAACTGACCTGGACTCGCCTGCCTCAGGGATTCAAAAACTCACCCACTCTCTTCGATGAGGCAATTCATGAAGATTTGGGCAAGTACAGGCTGGAACACCCCCAGCTCACCCTATTGCAGTGTGTAGATTACATCCTGATAGCTGCTGATAATGCTCTACTATGTCAGCAAGGAACTTGGGTTTTTTTGGTGACTCTGGGCAGGGTAGGATATCGGGCATCTGCTAAGAAGGCACAAATGTGTCGTCAAGAAGTGATTTATTTAGGGTACATTCTAAAGGAAGGACAAAGATGGCTCACAGATGCCAGGAAAGAAATGGTGCTGAAGATTCCAGTCCCCAACTCCCAGAGAGCAGTGAGAGAGTTTTTGGGATCAGCAGGGTTTTGCCGCCTCTGGATCCCAGGGTTTGCCAAATTTGCTAAGCCTCTCTATGAGGCTACAAAAGAGAATGAGACTTTCA